ATCAAAGTGACTTAACCATAGAAAGTAACTACTGCATAACAAGCTGTGTACAGGAACTGAGACACTGCACCATTGACCAGAAGTGCATCACAAATGACCTGATGTGCTTCAAGTGAAAAGACTGTATCTGGAGATCCTGATGTGCATCTGGAGAGACCAGAACCATGGCTTGGACCCTACTGATGTCCAAGATGACATCTCTCTATGACCTGACCTGATGAGGACTGAGACTCACCCTCAGGGGACCCTGAGGACCCTGAGGACCTGAGGACCTGAGAGAGAAAAACTGGGGAGTGATGTTTATATTTCTAAAATCATACATTGATGAGTGCTAAATGAGAGAGATACTCATGATTCTTTCTTTTGTTTTTGTTTGTCCCTAGCTTCTGGACATCTGATGATCTATTGGACAGACATTTGCAGAACAAGAACCAGCCAATGAAAAACGTCTATTGCCGATGCTTTTGCTACAACCAGAACCTGTGACCAAATGCAATATACATGTTAAGTATTCAGACATCTGACAGACAAAAACTTTGACTTTTTTGTCTGGTAGACTGAGCAACTGTTAAAATGTTTTAAAATGATAAAGTATGAGTATTGTAGCGTTTTAGTAGATGTTAAATAGTAGTAAAAAAGTAGAATTTGACTTCCTTTGTTGTTCATAAACACATTTCCACGTAAGAGTTAAAATAGTACCATACAATGTTATCCTTTTGATAGATCAGCTATAATATTAGAATCAGAATAATGTTACAGCCATTAAAAGTGACAGAAGTCACAGATTAGAAATATGCCTTTGCTCAAGCTGCAGCCGAGCTTTGGAGTCACAGTAGAGTAGAAATAGAATTAGATAAAAGCATCAACCATAGATGCTTTCAAAAATAGAGATTATTTCTAGCCAGTGCTAATATCAAATGGTAAAGGGACCATTTCACAAACTTTTACTTCAAAAGTAGATAAAGTTAATTACAGTTTATGTACAGTTTTATTAGATACTTGCCAAATTCACTTGTGTTCAAACATGTTGTTGACAATACAAAAAGTCCATATGAGTGTAGTGTAGATTAATGCCTAGATCAATGAGATAGATTACAACCAACAGAGATTCAAAAGCATTCAAAAGCGTTTTGATGAATTTGGGTGTAGCCCAAAAACACAATAGTAGATATTTAGATATTTGTATATCTTTGAGAAGTTTAAAAAGCTGTAGATTCATCAGCACAGATTAGAATCAGAGAATCAAACACCATTGTAGAATAACTGACCCCAACCCCAAACCTGCTAAAATAGATTAGCTCTTGTAAGGATAATACTAATTTGATTAAAGATGTTCATTCATCCCAAACTGCCTGAGAGGAGGAAGTGACAGCACTTCCTGGTTCAACAAATGTATTTGGAAAACTGACCATAATAATGTTCATATTAACCATTTATCTTTCTGTGTTCACAGTTTTATTCCTGAGAATGAGAATAGACATGGAGCAAAATCCCACTGACACAAAGCCACTGATAATGAAAGTATAATACAATCACAGAGAGATTAAAATGTATGTTTAAGAATATGGCTCAAAGCAAATATGCAAACATATTTGTGAATAGATTAGAATAGTTTTAAACTATAGTGATAGTAAAAGTAAAGTACACAGTCTAAGATTGAAAAGTGAAAATAATACAGTGAAATAAGTGAAGTGTAAACAATCAGCATTAGAATAATAGTAGAGTAATAAAAGTGAAATTAGCTTCTAATTTGAGACTCAGCTCGTTTTTGTCTGTGTTTTGACTGAATCTGCTGAGTTCTTGTGTGTCCAATAGTTTTTGTTTGTTTTTATTTTTTATTTGTTTTGTTTGTTTATTTTTTCCCAGGATAGAGGATAAAATCCACTGATATTGATTTGATGATTATGAGTTTAATGCATACATTTTCTTTGTTTTTAATAATTTTTTAAAGTTTTTTTTAGATTTTTTTTTTTTTTCTTTTTCCACTTTATTGATTGATCAAATTGAGTGATCACATGTGATTATGTGATCAAAGGGGAGGGTGTTAGTATTAGATAGCAATATGGCCTACGTGCAGGACTGTACAAGGACTCTGATTATTATGACTATGATGTGACTGTCTCTTTGTGACACGTATGTCTTTCGATGTGTGACGTGACAATGACTATATAAACTGTGTACTGCCTTTATTCTGTCTGAGAGAAAGAAACAAAGTAAACCAGTGGAACTTGAGAGAAACTTAAATAAACTTCCAGAGTTTGGCGCACCACGATCCGTCTCTCTCTGCCTAATCCTGACACTGTTTCAGCCCAACTCTGACTCAATTATAAGTGTGTCCAGTTTAACCAGTACAAGGACTACTACCCTCTTGGCTCTGCACTGCAAAAAATTATAAAATGAGGTAATAATGGTTTGTAATGTCTATTTATTTTTATAGCGCATTTTACAGAACAAGGTCACCCGAAGCCCTTTACAATGTTCATAAATCAGAATCATTCCACAGTCGCCCCCAACGAACACCATCCATTCACTCATTCATTTACATTCATACCTATTGTGCAAGTTTTTAGTAAGGGTAAGGGAAACTGGAGCACCTGGAGGAAACCTACAAAGACACGGGAAGAACATGCAAACTCAGAAAAGCCCGGTTTCGACCGTGATTCGACCCCAGGACCTTCCTTCAAGGCAGACATTTCCTGTACTTTTTAAAACGAGATCATCTAAATTGTCCCATTGGCAAATCTTGTTTTTTAGCAGCTAGAATGTGCCAAATGTGAGAAATGTGACTTATTTGTAATCATTATTGGCAGTGTGGTAACTGTTAAATGTGTTCTGACAGCGATAGGCCAGAGTGCTGCTGGAAGAAGTGATTACAAAGGAATTTCTGGTTTGTTGTGGGTCAGGAGCTAAAATAGGCGAGTAGATTTTAAAGTTACTGAAGTATTTAAAAAAGCAGTGTGTAAACATGTGTCCTAAAGTGGTACTGCAGCCTCTCCCACTCTCCCTGACTCAGGTTGCCAGATATGCAGACGAATCCAGCTGGGACCATAACAGCTGAATAGACAAGAGTTTTGTCAACAACAAATCTATAACCAACACCTTTTTCACAAAGATAGAAATCCTGGTTTTATTCCTTGTTTTGTCGTTAATGATTTGAGAATCATAACGAGACCTTTTTTAGTTCTGCGCCACATGGTACTTACCAGTGAGATTAGCTCCACACGGTGAGTTCTGACGCCCGGATCACAGACTTTCTGATTGGTGAAACGGTGGAGGGCGGGACATCGAAATGAAAACAATAACTAGATTAAGTAATTTAGAAATTCAAATATCTCTGAACAACTGTTATCAGTTAAAGAAGTATTGGAAAAGAACAGTTTATTATTATGACAGATTAGTGCCCTTTAATGACAGATTAGGGCCCTTTAATGACGACAGATTAGGGCCCTTTAATGACGACAGATTAGGGCCCTTTAATGACGACAGATTAGGGCCCTTTAACGACGACAGATTAGGGCCCTTTAATGACAACAGATTAGGGCCCTTTAACGACGACAGATTAGGGCCCTTTAATGACGACAGATTAGGGCCCTTTAATGATGACTCGACATGAAAATCTTACATATTGCTGCTTTAAGTTTCTCTCCCACACTGCTCCATCCATGTATCAAAGTTTTCTTCATAAAAACAGACAAAAACAAACAGGACGAGGGTTTGATCTTTGCCCAAATGTTCTTTACTTCTTCGTTTGATGAGACAAATAAATACAGTTTGAAAAAAAATGGACACAGAAATCCAAGATGGCCGACAGTAGAATCCACCACAGATTCGGAACCGGACAGAAAACAGACGTAACAACAAAAAACGCTGAAAAAACAAGAGAACGACGTGAAAAATCAGAGGAAGATTCCAAAAATAAACTTGATTTTTTTATTTAAAATATATTTCGAAATGTGACAAAAACGTACAGATTTGAACGAACAAAAGTCTACGCCGATAATCCCCAATTGAGCGAGAGTTGATGATTTCACAGCACCATTTTTTGGGGAAATATTTGAGAGAAAGAAGAAATCAAAGAGTTTTCGTCTGTGTTAATGTCCCACAGTATGGCATTAATAAACCTGCACATCTAGACAACATGTGACATCACAGGGAGCGGATAATAGAATCTCTTACCGTTTAAATGGTGGAAAAACAAGATGGCGCCATTGTCCTTATGCTACTGCGCCATTTGATTCATTACAGTCATCTTCTGGTATCTTAAGACAAGCTTTGGGTGCGCTCGTTCATGTCAGTGAGAAATCTGGTTGGTACGATCAGACATCGGGTGCTAACAGAAACAGCAGAGGGGGGTGCCAGAAGAACCACTACATTAAACCGGTCTAATACAAACCGTGGGAGCAGAGGATAATGCTTTCATCTCCGGTTTATTTAATTTTCTTTACCGCCGCAGAAAATTAAGCTAATTTTGCCAACAAGTTTTATCCAAGTTCTCCTGCAGCAGGCCAGAACAGCAGACACTTGGGAGGAACAGCAGCTCTTCTCCGAGCTCCTAACCCAGCCACACAGGGCTAGTATCTGCTAGCATCATATACCGTTTAAAATCGACACCTCCTGGGCTCCGTAGATGTGGCGAAAGACATTTTGAAAGCGAATTTTAGCATTTTAGTGCCATTTCTACTACTCCAATTAGCTTTTAAATGTTATGCTCCTATTATGCAATGGTAAACAAGTATTGATGTAATGTTTGGATAGATTTAAGTGCCAAATTCTGCTTATGCTAACAGCTAATGTGCTATGAAGGATTGACACGGATCCACAACTCCGCCCAAAACACTAGCTAAATATGCAAGTTTACTAAAGCCATACTGAGGGTTGTTCCGGCCTGAAGTGGCGTCTCCATGGAAACGGAGTCGGAAAAATGACTAAAAACTTTACAAATCATGGTGTGCGTGGAGTTAGAGGCGCTGCGAGGCGGACGTGCGTGCGATGTGTGGGCGTTAAGACTTTTCCTGCGACTTGAGGAGGTTCTCTTTGCTCCGCCTCTTCACGTCCCAGTTGTAAACGCGAGCCATGTCTGAGAGACGGTTAAGGATCCACCACTTCACCTTTCGACTCTTACGACCTGTTTGCAGCTTGAGCCAAAGCAGATTCAGAGCCTGAGACTTCTGACTGAGACTTCTGACTGAGACTTCTGACTGAGACTCTCTGACTGAGACTTCTGACTGAGACTTCTGACTGAGACTTCTGACTGAGACTTCTGACTGAGACTTCTGACTGAGACTTCTGACTGAGACTTCTGACTGAGACTTCTGACTGAGACTTCTGACTGAGACTTCTGACTGAGACTTCTGACTGAGACTTCTGACTGAGACTTCTGACTGAGACTTCTGACTGAGACTGAGACTCTGACTGAGACTTCTGACTGAGACTTCTGACTGAGACTTCTGACTGAGACTTCTGACTGAGACTTCTGACTGAGACTTCTGACTGAGACTTCTGACTGAGACTTCTGACTGAGACTTCTGACTGAGACTTCTGACAGCCAGTCTGGTTCTGGATCGATGGGAAAGTCAGAATTCAGAACAGACAAAAACATCAGGGAGCAAAGCCTCCTATTAAACACTTTACTGACTGGAGCTGGAGAAAGGAGAGAGACACGTGTAAAAGGTTAAACAGACATAAGTTGTAAAGATAAATACTGCAGGGTTAAAGCTGGGGGACGTAACTTTAAACAAAATCTATGTCTCTAGTTCTTGGCTCTAAAACAGTTGCTTTATCTCTAGTTTTCACAACATATATTTCAGTCTTTATTTTTAGATCAGATTTTGGCCCCCCACTCGGCCAATCAGCTCTCACCCCGAAGAGTCAAACAGTGACTGAAAGAAAAAAGGGCGGCACGGTGGCTGTGGAAAGAACTCTTACAAAACCCTCAGCAATGATGTCCTAGGCTCGAATCCTGAGTTTGCATGTTCTCCCCGTGTCTGCAAAGGTTTCCTTCGGGTGCTTATGTTTCCCCTACCACTAAAAACATGCACAAGAGGTAAAAATCCTCTCTCTCACTCTCCAGCTCTCTCTCACTCTCCAGCTCTCTCTCCAGCTCTCTCTCACTCTCCAGCTCTCTCTCACTCTCCAGCTCTCTCTCACTCTCCAGCTCTCTCACTCTCCAGCTCTCTCTCTCCCTCTCCACTCTCACTCTCCACTGTCCAGCTCTCTCCCTCCCTTTCACTTTTCTGTCTGAAAAGGCTGATCTATAGAAGTGACTAAAACAGACACATGTGAAACTAGAGATAGAAGCAACCGCGATAGAGCCAGAACTAATGTGTGTTGTTCAATTGTTGTGGTTTAAAGTTACGTGCCAAGCTTTAAATGACACAAACATGAAACTGAAGATGAGAAATGAGACGCTGCAGCGGCTCTAGCTTCTGCGGTGGAAGGATACTGACTTCGGTGGTGGTGAACTGGTCTCGGAGGAAGTCCAGGTCGTCCTCCAGAGTCTCCAGGTTCCTGGAGGCTGTGGACAGGTTCTTCTCCAGCAGCGCCTGGGCCTCATCAATGTCGTACTCCAGCATCACGTTAGCCTGAGACGAGATCACGTCATGTAACCCAGATATATTTTGATATTCTTAAAATATTTTTTAAAAAGTATAATGTTATTGTTCATGTAATTTAAAATATCATTACATTTAAAATCATGTTTTTACCTGTGAAATGAAATGTTTTGTCAAGTCTCGCGAGACTTGGGGCGAGACTTTGGGTCTGAGATTTGCGCGCCGCCATTTTTAATATAGCCGGCTGCTTAGCATTTGTGGTTAGGTGTGTGGGAGATGCTGCATTAAAAAGGAATAGTTTACCGTTTTTACATACTGACATATGTTCTTACCTTAGACTAGTTAATACGTACCTGTCTGGTCTTAGTCCGTGCGCTCTGTCATGCAAACGGAGCAAAAACGGGAGCACAAACGCAGCCTCCTCTGTATACTGTATAGGACCCAAAAGGTAGCTCCCGCTAGAAGCTACCAAACTCTTCCAAGTGTTCCCTATTAAATGTATATAGTTACGTGACGTGTTACACTGCAAAGTATAGTAACACAGAAATGTAACTGTCGATTTTCTCAGCGGATAAAACGGGTACTATATTGTGAGGCGTAGTAATCTGAGTAGCGCTACGTCCGCGCACTAACTTCTCTCCGGAGACTTCTCTCTCGCTGCTACTGTGTGTACTACAAGTCACGCTGCTTCTATTGACGGAAGTGAGCGAGAGAGAAGTCTCCGGAGAGAAGTTAGTGCGCGGACGTAGCGCTCCTCAGATTACTACGCCTCACAATATAGTACCCGTTTTATCCGCTGAGAAAATCGACAGTCACATTTCTGTGTTACTATACTTTGCAGTGTAACACGTCACGTAACTATATACATTTAATAGGGAACACTTGGAAGAGTTCGGTAGCTTCTAGCGGGAGCTACCTTTTGGGTCCTATACAGTGACCAGAGGAGGCTGCGTTTGTGCTCCCGTTTTTGCTCCGTTTGCATGACAGAGCGCACGGACTAAGATCACACAGGTACGTATTAACTAGTCTAAGGTAAGGTAAGAACATATGTCAGTATGTAAAAACGGTAAACTATTCTTTTAAGAGCTGCTACAGGTAAACATTTACCTCTCTAACTCGCTACCTCTGCCAAATCAAAGATCAGTTCCTAAAACGTTGTCCTCCCAACCTTTTACAGATTCATGTGACCGCAAAGTTGTCTTTGCTGCGTATATGTGTGTGTGTGTGTGAAGAAGGAATCGGTGAGTGCAATGTTATTGTTATGCTAATGCTAACTGGCGCAAAATGCTATCCGGTGCTGGCATTTATTGCTATGTGAGATTTTTATTAAGCTAAATCAGCTAAACTATAAGTGTATGCCTCACTCTATGAATTGTGTTAAGGTACCTGTTTAATGTCGTAAATGAGTGTGAACTTTTACTGTCATGAACAACCCATGGTTATTTAATGTATTCACCTGGTAGATAAGGGAATATTTATGCATGCATATTTTGTACACAGGCCAGGCTTAGGAGACTGCTTATTGCCATTGGCGACTTGCCGTGAGAGTACTGCCAGCAGCCATCCTACAGTTACCTGTGTGTCTGATCAGCCTTCACGTCTGCTGCGGTAGGACACGCTGTAGGCACTCGCTCACTCCCACCACCTCCTACATTACGAGGGTTTTGGCCTGGAGCTATTTTCCTTTCTTCTGGATCCTAGAACTGTTTACCTCTTGGGACGAAGAGGCCCTATCGGACTCTGAGCATGAACTCGGTGGATGGAAAGAGCGATTGTTTACTTGTTTTTGGTTTTGTTTTGTAAATATTCAAGAGCACTTGAGCCTGTAAATACCCCTTCTTTAAAATATCAATAACACAAATAATTTGCTAGCATCCCAGTTGTCTTGAGTATTTTATGGCACTATCATTTCCTCCCAGAGAGAACTTATTTTTCTGAGTAGTCTCAGTCATATTACATTTTACAAAGAAAGTTACTATATTACCGATATAATCAGTAACTCTTATGCACATACGTGTTACAGTCAGCATGAGAGACGAGATCACGTCGAGGTCACATGAGAGACGAGATCACGTCAGCATGAGAGACGAGATCACGTCGAGGTCACATGAGAGACGAGATCACGTCAGCATGAGAGACGAGATCACGTCAGCATGAGAGACGAGATCACGTCAGCATGAGAGACGAGATCACGTCGAGGTCACATGAGAGACGAGATCACGTCAGCATGAGAGACGAGATCACGTCAGCATGAGAGACGAGATCACGTCGAGGTCACATGAGAGACGAGATCACGTCAGCATGAGAGACGAGATCACGTCGAGGTCACATGAGAGACGAGATCACGTCAGCATGAGAGACGAGATCACGTCAGCATGAGAGACGAGATCACGTCGAGGTCACATGAGAGACGAGATCACGTCAGCATGAGAGACGAGATCACGTCGAGGTCACATGAGAGACAAGATCACGTCAGCATGAGAGACGAGATCACGTCGAGGTCACATGAGAGACGAGATCACGTCAGCATGAGAGACGAGATCACGTCAGCATGAGAGACGAGATCACGTCGAGGTCACATGAGAGACGAGATCACGTCAGCATGAGAGACGAGATCACGTCGAGGTCACATGAGAGACGAGATCACGTCAGCATGAGAGACGAGATCACGTCGAGGTCACATGAGAGACGAGATCACGTCAGCATGAGAGACGAGATCATGTTTTTACTAACCTGCAGGGGCTCTGCAGATGGAACTTAGCCTAACGCTATAATCTGGCATATTTACATGTGTGAAAATGTTCATTCGTAAGTTTTGTTCCTCCTTTCTCAAATTAATAAATAAATAGAGACTGAAGCGAAGAGGTCACATGACTTACCCCTAACCATAAGCAGACTTTATCAGTGGGAGGAGGTCACATGACTTACCCCTAACCATAAGCAGACTTTATCAGTGGGAGGAGGTCACATGACTTACCCCTAACCATAAGCAGACTTTATCAGTGGGAGGAGGTCACATGACTTACCCCTAACCATAAGCAGACTTTATCAGTGGGAGGAGGTCACATGACTTACCCCTAACCATAAGCAGACTTTATCAGTGGGAGGAGGTCACATGACTTACCCCTAACCATAAGCAGACTTTATCAGTGGGAGGAGGTCACATGACTTACCCCTAACCATAAGCAGACTTTATCAGTGGGAGGAGGTCACATGACTTACCCCTAACCATAAGCAGACTTTATCAGTGGGAGGAGGTCACATGACTTACCCCTAACCATAAGCAGACTTTATCAGTGGGAGGAGGTCACATGACTTACCCCTAACCATAAGCAGACTTTATCAGTGGGAGGAGGTCACATGACTTACCCCTAACCATAAGCAGACTTTATCAGTGGGAGGAGGTCACATGACTTACCCCTAACCATAAGCAGACTTTATCAGTGGGAGGAGGTCACATGACTTACCCCTAACCATAAGCAGACTTTATCAGTGGGAGGAGGTCACATGACTTACCCCTAACCATAAGCAGACTTTATCAGTGGGAGGAGGTCACATGACTTACCCCTAACCATAAGCAGACTTTATCAGTGGGAGGAGGTCACATGACTTACCCCTAACCATAAGCAGACTTTATCAGTGGGAGGAGGTCACATGACTTACCCCTAACCATAAGCAGACTTTATCAGTGGGAGGAGGTCACATGACTTACCCCTAACCATAAGCAGACTTTATCGGTGGGAGGGACGGAGGCTTTGCAGTAAACGTTATCGGCCAAAAGGAAGTGCGTCTCCATGGGGTCCGTGCTCTCCTGAGGAACACACAACAGTTACACACATGATGTAAGTAAGTAAGTAAGTAAGTAAGTAAGCTTTGTACCAGGTTAAAGCTCAAGAGCTCATCTCCACCGTCCTCCCGGGGCTGATGTTATGATATTACATTAAAATAACAAACATACATGAATGTACGGTCTTTCACGTGAGTCTTCTCATGTACACAGGTCAAACAGACAGACACACAACTCACACAGCCCCGTCCCATCATTTCTGTAAAGAGAGAACAGCAGGGGCCCCAGAATGGACCCCTGTGGAACTCCTATGCTGCAAGGTCTTAAAGGTGAATGTATATTGTTAACAGCAAAATAATGTGTGTAAGTCCTTTTTCTTAAATTCTAATTGTAGACTTGTTCTGTTGATTATATTAAAAGAACGGATACAAAATCTTAAATGCGTCTGGAGAACATTTAGCATAACTTCAGTTTAGTTTCGGTGAAGCAGAGAAGACTTACCTTTTTCTTCTGCATGTGTCGAAGGATTTCTAACGTCTGTTTGATTTGAGGAATCTGACTTTTCAACCTGGAAACACAAAAAACAAACCACAGAGTGTTACAACAAAGACATATCCCTTTGTTCGTGATGATCTCAGAAATGTGGATAAAACAAATTACACTGCAAAAAAATCATAAAATAAATGCTGGAATTGAGAGGTTTTTATCTTAATCTGACACATTCTGACTTAGAATCTAGATTTTCCAATGGGACAAAGACATAATACTAAAATAACATACAACCTCGGACTTTAGCATCATAAAGAAGCAAGTGTAAATCTCTAGCTTTAGCATCATAAAGAAGCTAGTCCAAGTCCCGCCACAGACCGGTCCTAAAGTGTGGGTTCTGACCGGAGTTTCTTCTGCGACAGGTTGAGCTCCATGTATTTGTATTTCTGGTATTGTTCGTCCAGTTTGCGGAGTGCTGCGTCTGCGCTCTCGTTCCCCGGCTGCTTCATGTAGGAGTCCACATCCTCCTGAAGGACACACGGCAAACAAGGATGTCAACAAACCAGACTAGACCAGACTAGACCAGACCTATGTGGATCCAAGTCTCACCTGAGGGAGAATTCTGACTGAAAACATGCATCGTCTGACCCTAGTTTGACATGGGTTTAACATTTAACATTTTTGGCAATTAAATCAATACAGTAGAACAAAGTATTGCAATATTCAGTTAAATAATAATCGGTTCTCTCGTAGTTTAGATGCGAGTATTACATCCACAAGGGGGCGCTTGTTGCGGGCCTGGGGTTTAGTTCATTCATTTAACAGAAGTTCAAATGAAAATGGCTTCATCACAAACGTTCTACACAACACTATGATTTATTAATGTGAAATTTGAGTTGAGTCTCATTTTCCTCCATGTTTGAAAAGTCTTTGAAAAATATGAGGGAAAAGAATCGCAATAAATCACAGAATCAAATCACAATACTTCACAATTTGTTAAGAATTGCAATAATATTTCATTGTAGCCAATAATATTCCAATACTATTGAAGAGTCCGATTTTGTGTCAATCCCAGCCCTATCTTTGGCCTCTGTCACATCTTTTAATCAGATTTTTCAGACAGAAAAGAGGCCCCCCTCCCTCAGCCAATCAGCTCTCAGCCCTGTGAGTCAGATAGTGACTCACAGGGCTCTTACACAGAAGATAACATGATTTCCAACCAGATGAAGACAGTGTGTTGTGGTCTGGTTTGTTCAAAACATTTTATTATGAAAAGACTCTTTCTGTTTGGAGGAAATGTATTTTTCATTAGGGAGAATAATTTGGGTACCCGAGCTTTAATATAAGCCTTTACACTCATTCAATTAACATCGTACTTTTTAGACACTGCTCATCAGTTAATAGTCTTCTGTGTGACAGATACTCAGTTTAAAGTCACGTACCCCAGCTTTAAGCACAGACTAAACATAACCCTGGGCTCACGCTTCTCCATAGATGGACCTGAACAGTGGAACAGGCGCTAGCATGAAAAGCATGGTTAGCATTGTTAGCTTCCACGGGGCTAACCAGGGCGTTCTTCCACAGCTCACAGCCGGCAGAGGCCCATCACAGCCCGGGTCGGCACGCAGGCCTAACTCGCAGCGGCCCGGTTCCTCCACACTCACCACAAACACGGCCTCGGGGATCCCCAGGTGCTTCTTCTTAGAGCCCTGTGCGGCATTGCTGTTGTCTATGGTGGTCGCCATCTTGGAGAGAGGCCGCGCCCTCCTTCTTTACGCATGCGCACACTACAGTGGGCTGCGTCCGTATTCTACAAACACAGGCAGACACACACGCACACATACGCATATAACCACGCACACACACGCGCAGATAGACACAGACACACACTTCCCACCGACACAAATAATCAAAAATTGCTGCTTAAATCCACATGGGCTGTACCTCAATGTTATTTTAAACTACTCATCCTCAAAGACAGGGAACTACAACTCGTCATCTTGAACATTTTCCATCTTTGGCTCATTCTCGTTCCGGTGCTCTGATTGGTCAAAACGCCCTCATGTGTCTCTCTGGAATCGCTCTCTCTTCTCTCTCTGGTCTCTCTCTGGTCTCTCTCTGGTCTCTCTCTGGTCTCTCTCTGGTCTCTCTCTGGTCTCTCTCTGGTCTCTCTCTGTCTCTCTTCTCTCTCTGGTCTCTCTCTGGTCTCTCTCTGGTCTCTCTCTGGTCTCTCTCTGGTCTCTCTCTGGTCTCTCTCTGGTCTCTCTCTGGTCTCTCGCTGGTCTCTCTCTGGTCTCTCTCTGGTCTCTCTCTGGTCTCTCTCTGGTCTCTCTCTGGTCTCTCTGGTCTCTCTCTGGTCTCTCTCTGGTCTCTCTCTGGTCTCTCTCTGGTCTCTCTCTGGTCTCTCTCTGGTCTCTCTCTGGTCTCTCTCTGGTCTCTCTCTGGTCTCTCTGGTCTCTCTCTGGTCTCTCTCTGGCCTCTCTCTGGTCTCTCTCTCGTCTCTCTGGTCTCTCTCTGGTCTCTCTCTGGTCTCTCTCTGGTCTCCCTCTGGTCTCTCTCTGGTCTCTCTCTGGTCTCTCTCTGGTCTCTCTCTGGTCTCTCTCTGGTCTCTCTCTGGTCTCTCTCTGGTCTCTCTCTGGTCTCTCTCTGGTCTCTCTCTGGTCTCTCTCTGGTCTCTCTCTGGTCTCTCTCTGGTCTCTCTCTGGTCTCTCTGGTCTCTCTCTGGTCTCTCTGGTCTCTCTGGTCTCTCTCTGGTCTCTCTCTGGAGTCTCTCTGGTCTCTCTCTGGTCTCTCTCTGGTCTCTCTCTGGTCTCTCTGGTCTCTCTCTGGTCTCTCTCTGGTCTCTCTCTGGTCTCTCTCTGGTCTCTCTCTGGTCTCTCTCTGGTCTCTCTCTGGTCTCTCTCTGGTCTCTCTCTGGTCTCTCTTTCTAGTCTCTCTCTAGTCTCTCTCTGGTCTCTCTCTGGTCTCTCTCTGGTCTCTCTCTGGTCTCTCTCTGGTCTCTCTCCGGTCTCTCTCTGGTCTCTCTCTGGTCTCTCTCTGGTCTCTCTGGTCTCTCTGGTCTCTCTCTTGGTCTCTCTCTGGTCTCTCTGGGTCTCTCTCTGGTCTCTCTCTGGTCTCTCTCTGGAGTCTCTCTGGTCTCTCTCTGGTCTCTCTCTGGTCTCTCTCTGGTCTCTCTCTGGTCTCTCTCTGGTCTCTCTCTGGTCTCTCTCTGGTCTCTCTCTGGTCTCTCTCTGGTCTCTCTCTGGTCTCTCTCTGGTCTCTCTCTGGTCTCTCTCTGGTCTCTCTCTGGTCTCTCTCTGGTCTCTCTGGTCTCTCTCTGGTCTCTCTGTCTCTCTCTCTGGTCTCTCTCTGGTCTCTCTCTGGTCTCTCTCTGGTCTCTCTCTGGTCTCTCTCTGGTCTCTCTCTGGTCTCTCTCTGGTCTCTCTCTTGGTCTCTCTCTGGTCTCTCTGGTCTCTCTTGGTCTCTCTCTGGTCTCTCTCTGGTCTCTCTCTGGTCTCTCTCTGGTCTCTCTCTGGTCTCTCTCTGGTCTCTCTCTGGTCTCTCTCTGGTCTCTCTCTGGTCTCTCTCTGGTCTCTCTCTGGTCTCTCTCTGGTCTCTCTCTGGTCTCTCTCTGGTCTCTCTCTGGTCTCTCTCTGGTCTCTCTCTGGTCTCTCTCTGGTCTCTCTGGTCTCTCTCTGGTCTCTCTCTGGTCTCTCTCTGGTCTCTCTTCTAGTCTCTCTCTGTCTCTCTGGTCTCTCTCTGGTCTCTCTTGGTCTCTCTCTGGTCTCTCTCTGGTCTCTCTCTGGTCTCTCTCCGGTTCCTCTGGTCTCTCTCTGGTCTCTCTGGTCTCTCTGGTCTCTCTCTGGTCTCTCTGGTCTCTCTCTGGTCTCTCTGGTCTCTCTGGTCTCTCTCTGGTCTCTCTGGTCTCTCTCTGGTCTCTCTCTGGAGTCTCTCTCTGGTCTCTCTGGTCTCTCTCTGGTCTCTCTCTGGTCTCTCTCTGGTCTCTCTCTGGTCTCTCTCTGGTCTCTCTCTGGTCTCTCTCTGGTCTCTCTCTGGTCTCTCTCTGGTCTCTCTCTGGTCTCTCTGGTCTCTCTGGTCTCTCTCTGGTCTCTCTCTGGTCTCTCTCTGGTCTCTCTCTGGTCTCTCTCTGGTCTCTCTTTCTAGTCTCTCTCTAGTCTCTCTCTGGTCTCTCTCTGGTCTCTCTCTGGTCTCTCTCTGGTCTCTCTCTGGTCTCTCTCTGGTCTCTCTCCGGTTCCTCTGGTCTCTCTCTGGTCTCTCTCTGGTCCTCTCTCTGGTCTCTCTCTGGTCTCTCTCTGGTCTCTCTCTGGTCTCTCTCCGGTTCCTCTGGTCTCTCTCTGGTCTCTCTCTGGTCTCTCTCTGGTCTCTCTCTGGTCTCTCTCTGGTCTCTCTCTGGTCTCTCTCTGGTCTCTCTCTGGTCTCTCCGGTTCCTCTGGTCCTGTGGATCTAGAACCACTGCTCACATAAGACCAGGAGAACACTGCAGACCAGGACCTGTCACTTCTGGTCATGTTTGGGACGTCCCATGGTGCGAGACTGATCCATTGAGTAAAGTCCATGGATCAGAATGAGCTCCAGGTACAGGGGACACAGGTACAGGGGACACAGGTACAGGGGACACAGGTACAGGGGACACAGGTACAGGGGACACAGGTACAGAGGACACAGGTACAGGGGACACAGGTACAGGGGACACAGGTACAGGGGACACAGGTACAGGGGACACAGGTACAGAGGACACAGGTACAGGGGACACAGGTACAGGGGACACAGGTACAGAGGACACAGGTACAGGGGACACAGGTACAGAGGACACAGGTACAGGGGACACAGGTACAGGGGACACAGGTACAGGGGACACAGGTACAGGGGACACAGGTACAGGGGACACAGGTACAGGGGACACAGGTACAGGGGACACAGGTACAGAGGACACAGGTACAGGGGACACAGGTACAGGGGACACAGGTACAGGGGACACAGGTACAGGGGACACAGGTACAGGGGACACAGGTACAGAGGACACAGGTACAGGGGACACAGGTACAGGGGACACAGGTACAGGGGACACAGGTACAGAGGACACAGGTACAGGGGACACAGGTACAGGGGACACAGGTACAGAGGACACAGGTACAGGGGACACAGGTACAGAGGACACAGGTACAGGGGACACAGGTACAGGGGACACAGGTACAGGGGACACAGGTACAGAGGACACAGGTACAGGGGACACAGGTACAGGGGACACAGGTACAGGGGACACAGGTACAGGGGACACAGGTACAGAGGACACAGGTACAGGGGACACAGGTACAGGGGACACAGGTACAGGGGACACAGGTACAGGGGACACAGGTACAGAGGACACAGGTACAGGGGACACAGGTACAGGGGACACAGGTACAGGGGACACAGGTACAGAGGACACAGGTACAGGGGACACAGGTACAGGGGACACAGGTACAGGGGACACAGGTACAGAGGACACAGGTACAGGGGACACAGGTACAGGGGACACAGGTACAGGGGACACAGGTACAGGGGACACAGGTACAGAGGACACAGGTACAGGGGACACAGGTACAGAGGACACAGGTACAGGGGACACAGGTACAGGGGACACAGGTACAGGGGACACAGGTACAGAGGACACAGGTACAGGGGACACAGGTACAGGGGACACAGGTACAGAGGACACAGGTACAGGGGACACAGGTACAGGGGACACAGGTACAGGGGACACAGGTACAGGGGACACAGGTACAGGGGACACAGGTACAGGGGACACAGGTACAGGGGACACAGGTACAGAGGACACAGGTACAGAGGACACAGGTACAGGGGACACAGGTACAGGGGACACAGGTACAGGGGACACAGGTACAGAGGACACAGGTACAGGGGACACAGGTACAGAGGACACAGGTACAGGGGACACAGGTACAGGGGACACAGGTACAGGGGACACAGGTACAGGGGACACAGGTACAGGGGACACAGGTACAGAGGACACAGGTACAGGGGACACAGGTACAGGGGACACAGGTACAGAGGACACAGGTACAGGGGACACAGGTACAGGGGACACAGGTACAGAGGACACAGGTACAGGGGACACAGGTACAGGGGACACAGGTACAGGGGACACAGGTACAGAGGACACAGGTACAGGGGACACAGGTACAGGGGACACAGGTACAGGGGACACAGGTACAGGGGACACAGGTACAGGGGACACAGGTACAGGGGACACAGGTACAGGGGACACAGGTACAGAGGACACAGGTACAGGGGACACAGGTACAGGGGACATAGGTACAGGGACACAGGTACAGGGGACACAGGTACAGGGGACACAGGTACAGGGGACACAGGTACAGAGGACACAGGTACAGGGGACACAGGTACAGGGGACACAGGTACAGGGGACACAGGTACAGAGGACACAGGTACAGGGGACACAGGTACAGGGGACACAGGTACAGGGGACACAGGTACAGGGGACACAGGTACAGGGGACACAGGTACAGGGGACACAGGTACAGGGGACACAGGTACAGGGGACACAGGTACAGAGGACACAGGTACAGAGGACACAGGTACAGGGGACACAGGTACAGAGGACACAGGTACAGGGGACACAGGTACAGGGGACACAGGTACAGGGGACACAGGTACAGAGGACACAGGTACAGGGGACACAGGTACAGAGGACACAGGTACAGGGGACACAGGTACAGGGGAC